TCCGGTTTTCTTTGGCTCCTTCCTCTTCTCCGGGGCAGTCACGTTGCCCTTGGGCGCCGTCCCTTTCGGTCCCGCGTCGTCCTTCTTGCGGAGGCCTCGCTTGACCACCTCGACCCAGGCGCCTTGAGATTTCGACCTGGATCTGGATCTCTGTGTCGCATTCTCCCGGGTCCCCTCTCTCGATCTGCCTGCCAGCGGTTGGCTCTGCGACTTCGCTTTAGTCGGCCGAACCTCTCCGCCTGCCTTGTCTTGGAGCTTTTGAACACTCCCCGTCGCTTTGGCCGTTGTCGGCGTTTTTGTCTTACTGGGCTGGGCGTTCTTATTTGCCTGGCCCTTCGGCTCGCTCTTTTTCGCAGCCCCTTTTCCTTGGTTGTTCGCGGCTGCCTTTGTTTGCTTGGCGGCGGCTGTTTTTTCCCCCGTTGGAGGGAATATCGCCAATGCGCCCTCGCACCTCGTGACCAAGTTCCCAATGTTTTCACGAATGGTCTTGGCATCTCCCGTCAGAATCTTCTCTACGGAGACCCCCTTCAGGACTCTCCTGACATCCTCGAGGGCCCTACTTTCTGTAGGACCCTCGATCCCCTTCTTCTCGCCGCGTAGTACTGGCCTAAACGCCACCGTATGCGGTGCAAGGCCCTCCGCCGCTCTTTCGTCTGCTTGCGTGTCCATCTGCTCCACCCCAAGTTGCGGTGCGCCCGGCCGCGCAGCGCGTTCCTCCTCGTCAGAAGACTCCATCCTCTGGATCTTCCGTTTCCTCGTGGACGCAGCCCCCTCTGACTGCGTCTTCTGCATGAGCAGGAATTTCAGCTGGAGGACTTGGTCTTCCAGCTCTTTGATCCTGCTCCATAGTCCTTCCACTACCGCGGGACTTTCCCCTTCTTCAGGGTTTGTCGCTTTGACCGCCAGAACCCTTGTGCCAGCCCTGATCATGGTAGCTGCCTTGTGCAACCGATGGACCATGACACCCTGGAAATTTTTCGATCTCTCTGCCACTTTCGAGACCACGTCCGTGTGGGCTGTCATTTCCGCCGATATCTGCGCTGGAGTCATCGGCTCCATCTTGCGGGCTACCTCCCTCTCGGGGATGATGTTTTTCCTGTCCCGAAGATTGGGAAGGATACGTCTGTCCAGGATTTCTTTTAGGCTCCTGGCTTCTTTTTTCAAGAGTTTCACCTCTCTAGATGCAGCGAGTCTCTGCCTCATCATCAGATACTTGCCGACAGTCGGGGGGCGACCTCGGCGTTCTCTCGGCTCCTCATCCTCCTCCTCATCAAGCATGTCGGCGTCCGATTCGGAGTGCTCATTTGCCGGTACTGCTTCGGCTGTTTTCTCCCTCGTGCGTGTGTCCTCAGTCTCCGTATCGGAGCCGTCGAGCACATTTATTTCCGGCGATGGTTGCCGGTTCATCTCCAGGCTCCGCTTGAAACTGGCAGGGCCTGCCTTCGTTCGTCCCGTCGATGTAGACGGGAGATCACGTCTTCTCCTTTCAAGCTCGGCAGAGGCGGCCTTATCCGCCTCTTCCCGAGCCCTCGTCATGTCGGCGGCTATCTTTTCCGCCTCTTCTCTCGCTTGTTGACTCCCCCATTGGAACGCGGGAGCGTTGCCGCGCCCCTTGAGGTCGTCCTTCTCCTTCTTCTTCGTTGTTTTGGTGGTTTTTTTAGAGGTTTTAGGCATATTGGCAGATACTAGGTTCCTCCGGTTCGGCCATCGTGGCACCCTCACCTCGGTGAGGGATCTTCCCCGGGTAGGATAATCCCTATTTACATGGTGGGAAGCAGAGAGGCTGCTTATCAGGGAGCCACCCCTATCCCACCCTGTGACTCTAATAAAAAGATTCCTGGAGAGGGCCAGGTCCACCATGATGAAAGAGGTTTAGGCTCACCCCAGGAACAGAGCGCGCACCGTACCGACCGGCCGCTTACTCTATCCCCGGGCTAGAGCTCGCGAGAGTGAGCTCCCCCCCGCATGGGTATGAGGGGTCCGCTGGCTACGCGGCCCCTCCATGCACGCGCCCGGCATACTGGCTTCAACTCCCGGCTAGGCTCCAGACGGACGATCGGGAGCGGTTTTCCCACGTTAAACTTGCCGCTTCCTGTGGTTTTTGCCGGAATACTCCGGACTTACGCACCCACGTAGTCCACGGCAGAGGTCAGGTACAGACGTCACCGCCCGTCCCCGGTCGGGGGGTTTACTACTCT